GAAAATTCAGATCCTAAAAAAAAGTCAACAGTTCCCTGTGCCTAATGTTATAATTAAAGGAAGTTTCATACTTTATGTGTTAAATTATTGTCGATTCTTCTGAAATTTTCATTTTAATCAACAATAATTTTTCTCAACAGAAAGAAAATTAAATACAGTTTTTAAAATCACTGATATAGTTTTAATATGGCCCTAGGGGGGGTCGCCAGAATTTTTTAACTTGTAAAGGGGTCGCATATTCAAGAAGGTTGAAAAACACTTCTCTATTGTATAGCAAATTGTTTAGTTTGGTGTAAAAATTACCACTTTTAAGCAACAAAAATAAAAACCCAGAAAGTATTACAGTATTGAATAAATATTGTAATTCCATCTGACTGATAATCAGAATTATTAATCAAATGGAACTACACTGTTTGACAAGTTTATTAGAAGACAACAAATTGTTACAACTTTTCAATTGTTACAGAACCTTTAGTTCTAACTGTAAGCAGTTCAATTGGTAATGTAGACTGCAAGATTCTATATTGATTTTGGATGTGGCCAATTATTCTTTCTACATGTATCCTTAGATGTGAAAGTTTTCTGCTCTACATATCATCTGTAGCTGAAAGTTGTTCCTCTTGTGTAGGCTAGAAATAGAAGTTTTGCACAATAGAAATCTACAGTGTCAGCTATGTTAAACCCTCTGTTGGCTAAAACGTCATCACCGGGATTGAGATAATTTAAAAAGCCAGAATACTCAGTTAAATATTGGTCACAAACTCTACCTCCCCATGGTTCTGAGGTGTGTGAGAGTTAAGGATGTACGAGACAAATAGTTCCAAGAATATCACTTAAACAATAATTTATTACAACAGGGATTAACAGGTATACAGAGATGCCCGTCAGAGACAAATACACGAATATACAACAGGTCTACTCTCGTCCGGAATCTTACAAAATTTTAATTACCACGATATAGGGTCTAATCACTAACTTATAATTAACTTATATCTAACTTAATCTAATACTATACTAATAAGAGGAAAAAGAAGGAAAGAAAGAAAAGGTCTACCGGTAGTTATCACAGGAGGTCCTGATGGTGGTTTTCGATAATTGCGGGGGTTTTCTCGGCCGACTTTGGTATATTAAACATTCCTAGTATGAAATTTGGCACTTAGTATTCGTAGACTACTATCTCTCATCAATCAAGTCGCTAGTCCCTTTCTCTTCTCTTTGGACTACGCTAAACTTCGTACATTGGGCTGGTTCTTTGTCTTAAGACTGACTTATTGTCCCGACGATATTTTCTTAACCCTCTCTCCTCGTCGTCCAGGCAAAAAGTGTCCTTCTCACCCCTTTGTTCACCTTGTGTACCCCACGGGCAGGGCCGCGCCCTGTTCACGTCGGTAAGCCACCAATCAGGACCCACGAAATTCCCGCTCCTGATCGGGTGACCGGAAATGGTCATTAGTATGAAGAAGAAGGAAGGAAAAGAACAAAGAATCTTAAATCTAAATACTATAACTATGTATATACAAAATGGCGGACAGCCACACAAGCCCTCATCAGGGGAGCTCAAACTCCACAGTGGAGTTTGTGATAGTCCACTCTCCTCCCTCTGAGGTTGTATCTGCCTTGATATGAGTCCTGTAGTTGATCACTTGGCGTTGTCCTGGCTTCCTGATGTACAGGTTCTCTGATATGACTCGGGGGTGCGATGCGTTGTTGGTAACTTCGTATTATGTTACCTTCATCCTCCTCTTCTTCATCTTCGGGCTGGTCAAGGTGATCCTCTCGGTTAGTCCTGTTCGGTGTATGATTTCGATGCACAGTATGTGAGAAATATGGCTTAAGTCTATCGAAGTGGATTACAAATGTCTTATCCTTTGAAGTTTCTCCTAACTCCGCGGTTACAGGACCTAGGATCCGGGTGATACGAAAAGGACCTAAGTACTTGGGGGAGAACTTGCCAAATTTTCTCCCACGATGCTTTCGCAACACCCACACTCTTTGGCCTACTTCAAACCTCCGCGCCTTCCTTTGTAAGTTACATCTCCCCCTATTATCTAGATTTTGGTGCCGACCCCTTAAATATGCCTGATTCCTAAGTACGGTTAATTTTTCCATTATTTCCTTCCTATGGTCAGAAATACTCGTAGTAGTTTGTGTCCCTGTGGGGAACACTTCGGGTATCCGAGGATCGAAGCCTAAAAGGAGGAATGCGGGGGATTCACCGGTCGAAGAATGGGTCGCGTTATTATAGGAAAAAGCCGCTTGGGCAATATACTGATCCCAATCCCGATTCCTACCTCTCGATAACCGGGCTATTATTCCGCAGATCGATTTATTAAACCTTTCACACACTGAATTCGCACACGGGCGGTAAGCAGTGGTGACTTTGCGTGTAATACCTAAGGTTTCGCATAAATCATTGAATAATGTGGACGTGAAATTTGCCCCCCTGTCAGAGATAATCACTTCGGGGCACCCATAACGGCATACAATACGTTCGAATATAACATCAGCGATGACCTTGGCTGTTTGATCCCGAAGAGGGATAACTTCCGCATATCTCGTGAACACATCGATAACCGATAGGATGTATCTATTTCCGCTGTTTGTTACAGTTAAGGGACCGATAATATCTATTGCTAATTTTTGGAAAGGGAAGCTTGCTACCTCCGTCTCTTGAAATGGCTCCTTTCCACGATGGAGATTGAATCGCTGGCAAGTTTTGCAACCTTTTATAATGGACTTAGCTATAGCATGAAGGTTTTTAACATGATAATGTCTGTCAACCAACTGACTCGTCTTTTCAGCACCTAAGTGCCCTCCCATGCCGGACTCATGGCAGGCCCTAACTACCTCCCTACTCATACCTTTTCCAACACAGACGCGCTTCCACCGGTATAAGTTATACCGACCAGGCTTAACATGGACTAATACCTCACCATCAAGTTGATATTCCGGCTGGATGGTTCCCTTAACATTAATGAACTCTCCCTTCCGACGGTCGTTCTCCAGCCCCTGTTTCATGGTACTTAGGAACTCATCCTCTTCCTGAGACTTTATAACCCGTTGATACAAATTCCCATTTTCCCCACTCGAACTGTGGTTCATAGAATCGTGTTGGGAATTGGGGCTTATTGGGCGCGACATGAGGTCAGCTACAGGGTTATTCTTGCCTTTAACATGTGCTACTATAATGTTATAGTTAGACAGCTCGATTGCCCACCTCATTAGTCGATCATTTTGGTTATTCATATTCCTAAGATATGATAGGGGTTTATGATCAGAGTATACCTTTACATCATGGCCCAATATAAGGGATTTGAAATGTTGGAGGGATAGAATTATGGCTAGGCACTCCTTCTCAATAGTGGAATAACGCAATTCCGGTCCTCTAAATTTCCGGCTAAAATATCCTAATGGGACTACGCCGTCATCTCGTTGCTGGCCGAGGACTGCTCCTGACGATCGATCAGACGCATCAGTATACAAAACGAATGGGGATGAGAAATCGGGGTGTGCTAACAACGGGGGGTTGGATAATACTTCCTTAAATTTTATAAAACTCGCCTGGCAATTCTCATCCCATGAGAAGGGTTTTCCCTTTTTCGTTAATTCCGTTAGAGGTAATGCTAATTTGGAGAAGTTAGGGATAAAGTTCCGAAAAAACCCCACCATCCCCAAGAAACTACGAACGTCCCTAACATTCCGCGGTGGGTTACCTTTCTTAATAGCTTCTACATTACAAGGGTCCGGGTAGATTCCTTTCATCCCAATCACGTGACCAAGGTATTTGATTTCTTCTACCCCGAACCTGCTCTTAGTAGGGTGGAGTTTCAGATTAGCGTCATATAATATTTTGATTACTTGATCGATGAGTTTTAAGTGTTCCTCTAGAGTAGGAGAGAAAAGGATGATATCGTCCTGGAAAACATAGCAGTTTACGCCTATGAATGGGGCAAGGAGGCGTGACATGCAATACTGGAAAAAACGACCGCTATTTTTTCCTCCCTGGGGAATCCGTGTTAACTGGTACTTAGCCCACGGCGTGGTGAAGGCGAATATGTGCCTTACCGCCGGGTCTAAAGGGATCTGGAAATACCCCGATTTTAAATCAATCACCGAAAAATATCTACTCCCATGGAAGGTGCTTAGGATCTCGTCAACTCTAGCTAAAGGGAACATCTGGGGTTTCGTAATCTCATTGACCTTGCGCAAATCTAGTGTCATCCTGATTTCGCCCGACTCCTTTTTTACAATGTGAATGGGGGAATTCCATTCTGAAGAACTTCTCTCTATAATTCCCACTCTTAAGTAGGAATCAATCAACTTTTTTAGATCCGCCAGATAGCATTGGGGTATACGGTATTGCCTAACATTGACTACACGGGTGGTGTCTACTTCGGGTTTATGGGTAAATAATTTCGTACCTTCTAAATCTTCGATCGATTCGGCAAAAAGACCAGGATACCGGTTGAGTATGCGGGTTACTTGGTCACTACTATTCGACATATGCGTTCCCAGAGATGGGGACTCAGATAATAGCCCGCTACTCAAGCATTCGAATGAGGACCTTAGCGGACCCTTCTTCGACTTTGATAAAAATTCCTGCTTGATATGCTCGCTCGCACTGGCTATCAGGGAAGGGAACTGCTCCATGACATCCATCCCAATAATACCCTCATATTCTAAATTGGGGGGAAACTTCATACAACAACAACGGATCGGGACTGTTTTACCATTATAGCTCATAACTAAACTCAAAAACTGATCACATTGTGTGATCGCACCATTAATACCCCGGATACTAGTTAATCTGTCGTTAGTCATTGCGTTGTTAATCTCCGGTCGACTCTTCCTGCGGATGAAACCCAAATCGATCAGGGACTTCTCGGCTCCCGTGTCTATTAGGAATCTCAGGTTCCCGGTTTTCATGCTACCAATTATTAATGGGAGTCCCTTTCCAGACAATATAAATTTGGTCAGATTAACCACCAGACTAGGAACTCTACGCTGACCGTCATCGAGTTCCTGTCCTAGTTTAAAGCATGGCTCTTACGATTTGGACATCTACGGGCAAGATGATTCGGGCTATCGCAAATAAAGCACCGGCGGCCGGGATAGTCGCGCCTTTCTGGCCGGGTTTCGACTAGCTTCGTCACGACTTCGAGAAGGGATTTCATACCTTTTTCTAAACTTGCCAAGCGATCGTCATCTCTGTGGAGCATTACAGGATTAGCGCTTTCCCTTCCCTCCTCACACCGTTGATCACTGTGGGCATTGTAACCTATATTTCTAATTTCCCGTGAGCTACCACATTCTCTCTCCACACGTTCCTCCTTCTCGGCCCATTCGAAGGCCTGTTCTAACGTCTCAGGCTCACGGCGGCTCACATGGCAACGGATATTCTGATGGAGACCTCTAATAAATCTTTCCTTAATGACGTCATCCTTGAACGAAACAACAGTACGGTTTTCCTGGATGGCCCTGGACATAACCGTCTTTGTCCTAACAATATAATCACTAATTAATTCTCTCCCTCCTTGCTTTATGTTCAGCAATTGATCCAAATGCCCTCTCTCTCTACCTTCAAACTTCTCATAGCATTTTATCAAATTCCGCTTTATTTCTCCGAAATCTGGTATGGGGGTGTGCTCTAACAAACACATAAACGTATTTAACGGATCTCCCTTCAGTTTGGCTTGTAAAACCGCAATTTTAACATCATCTCCCCATTTTGCTAGTCGCGCTATGTTATCCATCGTGCGGAAAAACTGAATTATATTAACATTATCGCTCGGGGAATTTGAGAAGGTAGGGATCATTCCCAAAAACCCTGTAACTACAATGGGAAGGTTCTCAAGTTTAACTTCTCCCTTATGCTCTAAAACTTGCTCGTCCTCCCGGTCCATAACTGACTAAGATAAATGAACAGTTACCTTAAAACTATACAATACTCAATTTCGAAGATCGATCTGAACGAGAGTTCTTTTTACAACGGGCATCCTGTCGCGGACGCCATTGTGAAAGTTAAAGATGTACGAGACAAATCGTTCCAACGAATATCAATTAAACAATAATTTATTACAACAGGGATTAACAGGTAACACAGAGATGCCCGTCAGAGACAAATACACAGATATACAACAGGTCTCTACTCTCGTCCGGAATCTTACAATTTTTAATTATCACGATATAGGTTCTAATCACTAACTTATAATTAACTTACATCTAACTTAATCTAACACTATACTAATAAGAGGAAAAGGAAGGAAGGAAAGAAAAGGTCTACCGGTAGTTAGCACAGGAGGTCCTGATGGTGGTTTCCGATAATTGCGGGGGTTTTCTCGGCCGACTTTGGTATATTAAACATTCCTAGTATGAAATTTGGCACTTAGTTTCCGTAGACTACTATCTCTCATCAATCAAGTCACTAGTCCTCTTCTCTTCTCTTTGGACTACGCTAAACTTCGCACATTGGGCAGGTTCTTTGTCTTAAGCCTGACTTAATGTCCCGACGATATTTTCTTAACCCTTTCTCCTCGTCGTCCAGGCAAAAAGTGTCCTTCTTACCCCTTTGTTCACCTTGTGTACCCCACGGGCAGGGCCGCGCCCTGTTCACGTCGGTAAGCCACCAATCAGGACCCACGAAATTCCCGCTCCTGATCGGGTGACCGGAAATGGTCATTAGTAGAAAGAAGAAGGAAGGAAAAGAACAAAGAATCTTAAATCTAAATACTATAACTATGTATATACAAAATGGCGGACAGCCACACATGCCCTCATCAGGGGAGCTCAAACTCCACAGTGGAGTTTGTGATAGTCCACTCTCCTCCCTCTGAGGTTGTATCTGCCTTGATATGAGTCCTGTAGTTGATCACTTGGCGTTGTCCTGGCTTCCTGATGTACAGGTTCTCTGATATGACTCGGGGGTGCGATGCGTTGTTGGTAACTTCGTATTATGTTACCTTCATCCTCCTCTTCTTCATCTTCGGGCTGGTCAAGGTGATCCTCTCGGTTAGTCCTGTTCGGTGTATGATTTCGATGCACAGTATGTGAGAAATATGGCTTAAGTCTATCGAAGTGGATTACAAATGTCTTATCCTTTGAAGTTTCTCCTAACTCCGCGGTTACAGGACCTAGGATCCGGGTGATACGAAAAGGACCTAAGTACTTGGGGGAGAACTTGCCAAATTTTCTCCCACGATGCTTTCGCAACACCCACACTCTTTGGCCTACTTCAAACCTCCGCGCCTTCCTTTGTAAGTTACATCTCCCCCTATTATCTAGATTTTGGTGCCGACCCCTTAAATATGCCTGATTCCTAAGTACGGTTAATTTTTCCATTATTTCCTTCCTATGGTCAGAAATACTCGTAGTCGTTTGTGTCCCTGTGGGGAACACTTCGGGTATCCGAGGATCGAAGCCTAAAAGGAGGAATGCGGGGGATTCACCGGTCNCTCCTTGCTTTATGTTCAGCAATTGATCCAAATGCCCTCTCTCTCTACCTTCAAACTTCTCATAGCATTTTATCAAATTCCGCTTTATTTCTCCGAAATCTGGTATGGGGGTGTGCTCTAACAAACACATAAACGTACTTAACGGATCTCCCTTCAGTTTGGCTTGTAAAACAGCAATTTTAACATCATCTCCCCATTTTGCTAGTCGCGCTATGTTATCCATCGTGCGGAAAAACTGAATTATATTAACATTATCGCTCGGGGAATTTGAGAAGGTAGGGATCATTCCCAAAAACCCTGTAACTACAATGGGAAGGTTCTCAAGTTTAACTTCTCCCCTATGCTCTAAAACTTGCTCGTCCTCCCGGTCCATAACTGACTAAGATAAATGAACAGTTACCTTAAAACTATACAATACTCAATTTCGAAGATCGATCTGAACGAGAGTTCTTTTTACAACGGGCATCCTGTCGCGGACGCCATTGTGAGAGTTAAGGATGTACGAGACAAATAGTTCCAAGAATATCACTTAAACAATAATTTATTACAACAGGGATTAACAGGTATACAGAGATGCCCGTCAGAGACAAATACATGAATATACAACAGGTCTACTCTCGTCCGGAATCTTACAAAATTTTAATTACCACGATATAGGGTCTAATCACTAACTTATAATTAACTTATATCTAACTTAATCTAATACTATACTAATAAGAGGAAAAAGAAGGAAAGAAAGAAAAGGTCTACCGGTAGTTATCACAGGAGGTCCTGATGGTGGTTTTCGATAATTGCGGGGGTTTTCTCGGCCGACTTTGGTATATTAAACATTCCTAGTATGAAATTTGGCACTTAGTATTCGTAGACTACTATCTCTCATCAATCAAGTCGCTAGTCCCTTTCTCTTCTCTTTGGACTACGCTAAACTTCGTACATTGGGCTGGTTCTTTGTCTTAAGACTGACTTATTGTCCCGACGATATTTTCTTAACCCTCTCTCCTCGTCGTCCAGGCAAAAAAAGTGTCCTTCTCACCCCACGGGCAGGGCCGCGCCCTGTTCACGTCGGTAAGCCACCAATCAGGACCCACGAAATTCCCGCTCCTGATCGGGTGACCGGAAATGGTCATTAGTAGAAAGAAGAAGGAAGGAAAAGAACAAAGAATCTTAAATCTAAATACTATAACTATGTATATACAAAATGGCGGACAGCCACAT